GGTAGTTGGAAAGTCAAAATGTGTTGTTTTTTAAAAATGAAGTAATTAATTATTATAAGTAGAGGTAAAAAAAATTTAATACTATATTAAATATTAAAATTAACATATAAATTAAATCATCTTGTTTTAAAAAGTGTAACAATTAAAATCACACATTATATAAGACGAATGGCAATTGAGTACTATTTGCCTATTTTCGAGGGTTTTCTTTGTTCTACTTCTTCCATTTTTTTTTAACCTTGTGAGATGTTTCGTTTGTGGTGTCCAAAGTTCAAGAAACAAGCTGAGCCCACAAATTTTGGGAAAGGCAGCGATTGTCGAAGTGCTCGAACACGTCCAAAAGAGAAAGACTTTTAATGTTGAAATTCTTTACAGAAGTGTCCTAATATTCAAGCGATTTGTCCTGTAATCGAGCTTGCCTAAACTTTAACAAACAGAAACAGTCTCACCTTCCCCACTCGTGCGGTCAAAAAACCCAAGAATTACATAATTATTTGCGAATTTTATGAGGGAAGAAATGTATTTTAAATTGCAAGATGTCACCTTGAGATACGGCAGAAGTGAGTACATAGTAGTACTAGTTAAGGAGACTTTAGGGACAAAGATGTATTATTAAATGAGAAAAATTAAGATTAAAGGAGAGTCAAAGAAAGCGTTTGGACCATCCTAATCTTGCAATGTAATTTGATCACTTTACAAGAGTCGTGTTAGTCAAACTAATTACGTTCGAAATTTTTAATAAACCTTTTCTTCTTTTTTTTTCTTTTTTTTGGCCCTGCAAATGTTGTTCAAATATGTAGTATAATTTTAACTTGACACCCTTGGACTAAAGATTTGTGCTGGATTCTCTACTTTTAAGCAAGGAAGGGACCAAATTTGCACTATAATATATCTTTGATTGGTCTTGAAAATAAATTAAGAATGCAGACTAAAAGGTAAACTTTATTATATTATGTAACATAAATTAAAAAAAAAATAATTTAGAAGAAAGTAAATACGTCCCAATAGTCTGACATAAAGAAATGTAATCAAATCTCTTCTTGTTTCAAGAAGACAAGACAACTCATACAAGGCTCCTTTTCTTTTCTTCTCTTTTATTTTTTTTTTTGGTATTTTGTAATGGGGAAAACCAGGGGCAAAAAAAAAACAAAAATTTATAAATATTAAAGTATTCTATTTTACGATTTGAATTATTTTAAATTATAAAACAAAAAATTTATATAGGAGAGAGTCTCAAATATTAGGAGGCTCTTCTTCATCTAAAGATTAACATTTTACAATTTAAAATTGTTTAAATTGTAAAATATTTTTTTAAAATATAGTAATCTGTTTTTTTTGGTATTTTATAATGATTAATGGACTTATAGGCCCAGTCAAAGGTTGGTTAAAAACATTAGTCCTAGTTGGATAACTCAAATAGAAGACTAGAAGTGCCGATGACGGCCCAAAAATAAAATAAAATAAAAAACCGACAGGGGGTAGATTATGCTGCCCGGCCCACATAGTTCACTGTTTTTCGTTTTCCTTAATGATGCTCCAGTTTTCAGTTTGACAGTCAATACTACTGGCCCCCATGAAACTTTGTTTGGTCGGCATCCATAATAATTCTTTGTTTTTGTAGTTGTTGAATATTTTTTAAATAATTTATGTACACTTTAAAATTATCCTTTTTTTAATTTAATTAAAAAATAAATTATTTATTATAATATTAAAAAATTCATAAATAAGGTGAAAAATAAATTTCTTCATCAATTAAACTATAACTTTTTAAGTATAATATTCTATTTATCTAACATAAGACTCGATGCCTACAAACACAAGTGATTATAAGTTGCTAACACCCTGTTTTATTTACTTAATTTGCTTGTATTTTCTTTTAATTTTAAGAATGAGTCAAGGGCATAATAATCATTTTTTGTTTTCATTTTTTTAGGTGATATTACAAGAAGGTAAAGGAAAGAGGTTTTTTTTTTTAATTTTTATTTTATTAATCTTTGATAATTATATTAAATTTTTATTAATTTAAAATTAAATCATATAAAATTTTATTATAAAAAAATTA